TAACAAATGCATTGACAATTAAATGAAAAGACATTCATAACAAACTATGTTTATTCTTCAGGCAGTCCGGCCATCAAACAATACTATAATGAGTTTTTGTATTCAAAAACATTTTGTTGATACCAATAAGCATTTGTCTTGATACAAACGCTTACCTTGATAAGGTAAGCGTTTTATTTAAATAAAAAACTACAGTTTGAAAAATACAAACGACATTTTTAAAATATAAACACGTTCGACAGTTAATAGAAAACCTGATCTATAGCGTAGTTTGTGATGATAGTAAACCAGATTTTTCATCGGATTTAGGTAAACTTTCGCCGATACTGAAGAACATAGTCGTGCCTATCCAAATCATTCGGTTCATTGAAAACGTTGCACAAGGTTACGTACATATTTCTCCGTCTTGTAGGTTATGTCTATTTCGTCACATAATGTAATGAACTGGCCTCGAAATATTTTATTTGAATATTGTACATCCAGTCGAGGGTGGAGGATTAAGACGAATTGCAACAATGCTATTCTCGCAAGATTCAAGACCTTTGATATTGATTAGGTAAATATTTATATCTTTTTCAAACAATTTTAATCGAGAGACAAAAACAAATTAATAATTAATAAACAAAAACTAATTGTAGATGTTATGTTATTTTTTTACTCAGTATCAATTAAATTGATGGTAAAGTCAATAAATATCTTAAGGGTTTTGAAATTATTATCACCCGACATAAGGCAAACTGCTCTAAAAAATATATATATATAAAAATAATAATATATGTGGGTCGTATATAAGATGAGGTAAAAGCGTTTATTGCTGTAGGCATATTTAATAGACATAAAAGTCGTTTAATAATTTATGTGATATCCTTGTGAGGATATATCGTTATTCTGCACTGGTATAAGGTCAAAACGTGAAAGTTCATAGTTTTTATTTTTTCACCTAAGTACGACAGATTTGAGAGAAAAGCCGATTCAAGTAACCGTTATAAATTCAAAGTATTGACCTCGTTTGTCTACTAATAATTACAATAAATACGTAATTACAATAATTTCAATTTTACTATTACAGAATGTCATGCATTTTTTTTAACATAAATAATAATTTTGCCCACGCAAATGTTTTCAATGCTATCATTGAAAAATTATCATGAATTATTAGCGTTTATTAGTAAAACTTACGTCATGGGATTTATTGTAACTGTTGGATATAAGGTTAAATATCACGTGGCGTGTTATCAATATCCGTCAATTATGGCTACTATTTTTGCATTATCTCATTAACTGCGCAAATTTCTAAGTCTATTTCAAAGCTTGAACTTTTGCCGATCACTGAAGTGCAAATGATTTCATTGCTAATATATACAATGATAGATTTTAAATCATTAAGTAGAGCATATACTTAATAAAAAAATTCATAGTTGACTTAATTGTATAGCTTTAATTTATTTATGCCAAAACAGAGAAGTTTCATCATATTAGCAATACGATAATAATTTTCTAAATTTTACTCACCAATGGATTAAAAATCAATCCTATATAAGTAATTAATATTATATTAAAATATAAGTAATCGTTACTCATCGAATGTTTTAGTGTGTCTACCAGTCAGTGTTCGTGAGGTTTTATGTGAAAATGATTTCTATTTTAGTCTGATAACTGACCCTGAGCGATCATTCCTTAACACGCTATGAATGAAACGATTTTCCGGTAAAATAGAGGCGGCTCCTTTTAGGTGTATAGTGTAGTTTAGTGTTGAGAGTGTTTTCCAACTCGGTCGGTGGAACATCTAAGACGTTGAAAAGTGACCGCTTTTGAGATTATACAACAAAAATCGATTGTCAACGACTATGATGACGGATCATGGTCGAATTTTCTCGAAAGACTTTTTATATATTATCATTGCCGTGGGTAAGACGCATTTTTAATGATACCCACAACAAAGAACGGAAGCTGTTCCACGTCGTTGTAATATAGTTGACTTGTTCCGCTCGAAATCCTGTGTCCCAGTCGTTTAAGTTATATTATGGTTGTTATTAAGTACAATCTACTGAGTAAATAGAATAAACATGTACACATGTTTAAATTAAATAAAAATGATTTTTAGTTTTAAATTAATATACTTAGTATGATTTTAATTTTAAATAATATTAGCCAAAAAATGATCAATTTTTATTATTAAACTAAATATCTGAAAAAGAGTATCCAATATAGACTCCTTAGAAATTCGAACTGTTATTCAACCTCTTGAGATCATTCGAGTTCAAAATCGTTTCGACAAAGACAAAAAATTAACAACCTAATCTACGTATGAGTATTGTGTGGCTACGCATGGAAACCACAAATGCGTTTGCGGTATTTTAGTATTATTTAGGTATTAAACCCGAGCCATTTTTTTTAGTTGTCAAGAGTATAGTATAAATGTTGTGCGAGTTCATTGTACCAATGAGTACAGCGTAAAATAATAGACACGAACCTTGTGTAATGTAATTCACACACAAAGACTATCGTACACATACGATATGTGATGTACAGAGGCTTTTATTTTCGGATCGGCCAACTAAAATATGCAAACGTTCAGTCCGCTGCCGGCGAGATCCGAAGGAGGCGGATGGAAGTGGCGCTTTATTATCTATTGGACGTATAATAGAAACGTACAAGGAACCGAAACGCATTTACACCGAGGCGACAAAAACACATTTCCAATGTGCTTGTATTTAGTTAATAATTAACGCGATGGCCGACACAGACCGATCGAGGTCACCGCATTGTCGAATCTCGGTCTTTGCTACACGGCCTCAACGAGCCTCCAAAGTATCTTTTGGATCAATCGTTAAAGTCACCGGGGAATTTTTGTCTATTGAAAAATGAATTAACAAAGCGCTGTACAATGAATTTTTTTCAACCGAAAACACTGCGAACGATTTCATTGTGCGCGGAAAAACAATACTCGGTCATTACACGCGGAGCGATGTAAGCTCATTAATATTATTGACCAAACGTTGTGTGCAATGTAAAGGCCGAAGGTTTTAAAGCTGCACGCGCATTACCTTATTGTATTGTAAGTTTGTAACAACTGCACGCGGTCATTGCTTATTGCAGTCCTAAGGGGCCAATGCACAAAAAACAATTGACAGCTATCTGTTCTGCGTGTACTTAAACGTTTTATGATTATCTAAAAGGACGTACACTTGGGCGGTAACCGATAAATGAAATGACTTCACAGAAATCTAGTAATATTGTCGTACGATTTTCTTAGTCAAACATCAAAGGACGATAAAAACGTCGAACCCACATCACGTTTAGTAACGATAGCTGCTGTTTAACTGTATGGGGTTTCATCTTTTGTAGTGTCTGTTAAAATATTGTACCAAACCAAATATTGAATTCTGGTTTCTAGTTATGATTAATTGTTATTATTTTACCCTAATAGCGTCTTTCCCGTTTAATCTTTTCATCAATAATTGAATTTCCCTTTATAGTAAAAGGATATGCTACTTTCATTAAGCTGACAATGTATCAATGTTATTATAATTCAAAGATATAAAACGAAATTTCTCATTTGAAAATAAAATTACTCGGAGTATATTTATTGCCTAGTTTTTGGTAAACAATAGTGTTAAAATAATTGTCGCGGTGCTGATCACGACTAAAACGTCACGTTTTTGGTTTTAATGAAAAGAGAACGAAAAGGTCTAGTATTACTTGAAATTGTTAACAATTCAGTTAGCATACAATATACCGTACGTCAGTTAATAGTAAATAAACACAAGTCATGGACCCCTGCAACTGTTAATCATGATGGTAGTTTAACTATAATATTGTTACTCCTTATAGATTCCTGTAAGAATTGCTTTCGAATGGTTTAACGTGGGATTAACAAACGGTTGACATATACCAATTATATACATTAAAGTTGTATTGAAAACCCACTTGAGTCAGCCTTTTTCAATTTAAATGAAACTGTATTTATAGTTACTATTCGTAGGTTCGTTTCGAAGTGTTTTGTTCGTGAAAGTACTCAAACAACCGTATTTTACTACCAAAATAATTTTCAAACCGAATTACCGTTTCGGCCGACACGAATTTTGTTCGGAGGGAACGCTATATTTCTATTGTGTTTGAGTTCCCCTAAAAATGGGGTGTCCTCATCTGCCGGTTTGCAGCCGTTTCCCAGTGGTAAAAAAACCCTTCTGGCCAACGTACGTTTGCCTGCAATCAAGTTGCGCATTATTGTGTAAAACTGTTCCGCGTTTGGTATTCTTAACGATTCAGTCATTGTGATTTCATTACGTGGTGTAATAATATGAACAAATTTACCTGAAACTCTACAAAACTGAGTTTTTATTTTTTCACTATCGGCCTTACAAAACGTTCAAATTGATCTGACAGACGATTAAATTTGTTTTACCATAAAATCACAGACCCGTGTTACTGACCGATGACTAAAATTACAAATTTTACAAAGTAATTAAATATAATTTTTCTATTTAGTATTTACCAGTGTACATACTGATGGCATTACAAATTAATCGGCTAGTCGTGAGGAATTAACAGAGACATGAACTCTTTTAAGTAGTTGTTATCAGTTTATCGATATGATTATTAGAAGTTTGGTTTTGGGTTACATGTTCAATTGTCGTCAACAGCAATAATAAAATTGCCACACTTGAACCGAATACAGTTATTAAATAATTTTTTTTAAACACTTTCGTCATTGTGTGTTATTATAATAATAACAAGAGGTTTCATAATGAGACGATCTAAATATTTTTTCAATCCACTAGTAATTAACGTCAGCAACACTTATTGGGTAATAAACATTATTAATAATAAATGATAATATAAAGAGCTTAGTTCTTATCATTATACGTGAACCATTATGAACTTTCAAAGACAATCAGCTACAAAACGCATTATTCTATGAATTTTATTAATCACTAATAACCTTATAAAAGTATTTTATTAAAATAAAAAAAAAATTATAAACTTTAGAAACATAATTAAATGGAAAACAATAAGTTAATTTTCGATTTATTTTCATTTATTACAATATAATATATAATCACTAGTCACTGCTGTATAGTATAGTACAAAGTTTACAATATATTAATTTTTATCATCGCCTCTAACAGTCTACACTTGTTGAGTATAATAATAATAATAATTTAATGTGTTTCACAGTTCAAATATAAAACATAATTATGTTATAAGATTTACAATAAATAGAAGTGCTGATGTCCGAATGAAATTCAAATGACCTCCAGCAGTTTTCTGTGGCACAATCAGTCGTTGGTAATTGTTTAAGTACAACCAAACTAAAAAAAAAAAAAAAAAAAGAGTCCTAACTGTTTTTTCTGGTCAGATGGACTGGAATGATATTTTTTTGGGAGACACGAACTGGAAATATATCGAGATAGTTAAACAAAATTATGAAAAACCTCTGGTGGGATCAAAATTTATGGCGACACATATATAGATTTAGATAATTATTTTTTTGTCGCCTAAGGGTTGGCAGTAAAATAAAAATTAAAAAAATGAACAATATCATGCAATATATATATATATATCACTAGGCTTATTGGCCAACAAAAAAAGTTGCTATTTACACAAGAGATATAAAATTGTTAACGCTTGTTGTTGATGTGATGGGAGTTGGCAATTATAAGGGATTTTTTCCTAGTGGCACCAAGTCATCGTCACTGGCTTGTGATCCGGTTTCTCTTTTGAGTCCGGTGGCAAAGTTGTGTAGGAGCTGTCTAAAAACGTCACTGTCCATGTTGCCGGCTAGATAGTACATGAAAAGCCAGTCGGAGAAGGTGGTGCGTTTGGCTACGATGGCCAGGTCGTTAGGGTCCAGGCGGGCGCCGTTTGAAGATTCACGGAGCAACAAGCGGTTGAAAGATTCGTTGGAGTGAAGGGCGTATTGGATGAGACGCCACACGAGGGCACTGACGCTGACTGGCAATAGGATAAAGAAGAACCAGAACCATAGCAGAGCGTATATTTTTTCGTTGACAATGTTGAGGGCCATAACGCACAAAACGTCGTGTGTTTGTATGGTGCCGGACGGACCAAACTTGTGGAAGTCGCACTTGGTCATTTTTGGAAACACTCTGTCGAACGTGCCGTCCTCGTCTTCGAACATCTTCCAACCGTACGAGTAGAACTGACCACCGAGGAACTTGTCCATAATTTTGATCTGCAAGAGCACGTTAAGAAGGTTGAGTACTTCGCATCCCACCAAAGTCGTGGCCCAATGACGGTTTATTCTGAACCTAGTAACGGTGTCCAAGTGGTTCATTACGTCGCGTACTTTAGCCCATTTGGTGGCTTCCGATGGAATTTTCCGGTTACCAGCGACGATATCTTTTTCGCCGGTCGCCTTCAAGTACAACCGTTGAAGGCCGTCTACGAGTAGTGCAATGGTACCTGCCTCGTAAGACTTCCACAGCAAATGCGGCAAGTAGAACAGAACAGCTTGAAAGAAAAGCACAAACGGTACCCACTGGTAGTAAGCGTGACGCACGGGGTTTGAATCCCAGTTAACGGGCCCCACGCCAGGATGGGCCGAGTTGTTGGCGTTCGGTATCGTATACGTAGTGGTAAAGAAACAGAACGTGTTTACTACGTGAGGCGCTACGCCGCTGACAATACAGCGGATGTGTTCACCAATATATTGACGACTACATACCAATGTTGTGCACGCCAACATGATGGCCAGTGACAGCCTGTAGTGTATGCGGAACGCCGAATTGTCGATAGTGACCAGCCTGATCCGGGTAAGCCGGGACTGGCTGACCACATCACTGAACACGCGGATCATACGGTCGGGTCAGTCACTCCGGTCCTATATTCACTATGTAAAACAAACGAAATTAAAATATGAATATTAATTCGCGACTATAATCAACGGCTAAGTGAATGGACAAGGCGCGCGGACGGTAAATGCAGACGGGTGTGCGCGTAATACTACGACTGTCGCGCGCGCGATCGACGCACCGGTTGCAACGGCAGTGGCGCGGCGGTGCGGTGCCAGCCCCCACTTCACCTCAAACCGAAGGATCTGTTCAAACGGTCTACGGTCACTGTTCGTAACCGTCAACAGCTGTCGCGACGGTGCCGGGAAAAAGAGCACGTGGTCGCCGTCGACGTTTGTAACCGATTCCCCCGAAAGCGTTGCTTTCCTCCGCCAGGGTGTTGTGATGCCGCCCGTATGCTACTCACCCTCAGCCTTCGCGCGACGCCGTTCCAACGAAGATTTTTATCGACATACCATTACGTTGCACTGGTACGGCGGTTGTTGTTATTTAGTGTTCCATTTATTTTTATGCTCCAATTAGTAACCTTATGCACTCAAAACGCATTACAGATAATTTGATATAAAAAAAGTAAAATGAAAATATTTTCTATAAATACGTGTAATCATTCACGAATTTATTATTAAAACATTTGTTGATAAAAATAAAATAAACATTTTTAACGATACCGGTCAATTATGGTTTAAACAACAGACGATCCGGTAAACCCCAAAATCGTTCAATCAAATTGCAAATCGAACAACTAAATTGGAATTATAAAAATAATTGTCACTATAGAAATTGATATCTCGTAAAATAATAACTCGTTTTGTTGTTATACAAATATGTAAATAAGATTTTTTGAGACTGTCTCTATTTAACAACAAAAATTAATGTATTGTAAAAAAAACAAGAATTTCCGAATGATTCATTGTTTAAATAAAATGTACCTATTGTATATTATGATGTCATGGTTATACTCGTGACCTTAGAATTAGTTTTAAGTTGACTTTTTCCCAACGTTATCATTTCAACCCGTGACGATAAGTGTTTTCAGATATAACAAAATTGTATTACGCGCAAACGCGTGTAAAGTATTGGATGTGATTATTTTGAACGTTTTCGGGAGTTTCATTTTTTTGTATCGAATGAAATCATTTTTTTCATTTTATCAGATTTTTTTTGCGTCGTGATTGACCTTGTTGGAGGATAGACACATAAAAAAAGTATGTTTTTAATATAAGTCGTGCTCAACGACCAATAAGCCTAGAAAATTGTAATTATTTTTTAACACCTATACAATACCAGTCCTGCGAATTCAAGTTGTAATAAACAAAGTACATTTACAATATTGTTTGTAATTCTCCAGTGTATAATCCGAAAACGTTAATCAAACGTCTTGTTTAAGTACAGATTAATGACTTTTTTACGTGCACTAAAAATATGTGATCAAATGCAACCAATAAAAACTTCTAAGAATACTTATGCAGTTTATTTTTATTAATAATTGTATTCAATTTAAGTTCAAATACAATAATTTATGTTTCTATTTGTTTCCGTGTTTGTACTCGATTATTATTATTGTTTTATCTAAACGTTACTTTAAATATGTTGGGTTTTAGTATTACCTTTATTATTATTTTTCCTTGGCGGGTAGTCGATAGATGTTACAATAATTTTACTATCTTAATTCTTTCTAAAACAAACAGTATTGTCGAGACTTACTGTCTATGAAAATACAATGTTGAGCGGTTATGTTCTCAGTTAAGATTGAAATACTGATCGTATACTTGTCGTTTGAATAACTACCATAAATTTATAACGAAATAACAATTTAAATGTGAATCTATTTTCAAAATTATTAATTATTTACTTTGTCTTTGGTTATGATCTGAAATAACTGGGGCAACTATATGCAACTCGTATCAGTAGGCGAAACAAAATTTGTTCAATACCCAAAACACTGTTATGTTACAGAAAACCACTATGCCCTTGCATTAGACATCCCTTTGTTGTAGGGACACAGTATCACAGTATATCTAAGCTTACGGACGGTATAGTTTTTTTCAGATCACAGGTGTTTTAAAGCAAATCCCACAAGAGCCTGGTCGGGGCAGACCAACAAACCTGCTGACTGCGCCAGACAGTCGACGCAGAACCTTCAAAGATGATGATCACATATGTTCTATGTTAAACACAATAATTAAAATTGTAATACAAGACTTCTGGCTGCCGACCATAGTGTAGAACAAAAATAGACATTCATTGTCGGTTTTCGTTGGACTGTTAAGGGTTTTTATACTTATCAAAGATATTTCTAGTCAAACACATAAATTATGAAAGCAGAAGTCTATCGGAGTCATTGGCCCTGGCCAATCTGCAGTGGCAAACACACATGTACATAATTATCACTGCACAGTGTGTAAATTATGTATTCGTCGATTGTGAAGCGCACGTGACATCTGCAGAGGACGTCGTGAGTACACATAATCACTGGTTATTCATAAAATAATGCGAAAATGACAATTTTACCATAAAAAAATGATATACAACCCGACAATAAACGGTGAAGATACGTTTGTTTCAAGCTACACAATACTGCCACGGTAGGTAAAACACAATTAAAAAAAATGAGGATGCAAAAACCTAACGGATAACATGCCAAGTGCGGATTACGACACGCCACTAGGAGGAAACTGTACTCGATTTGGTCCACGTGACATATTAAAATATTTACCATTCATATGAAATATTAATGTCCGTTGGAATATTAATTAAGTTGTTTGTGATTCGCATTCAAAGATGTGCAATTTGCTGTGACGTATAATTTTTGTTGATCAACACGGCAATTCTTAAGATTTTACCGGTTTTCAGTCCAATGGAGTCATAAACCGAATAGTTTGTTTTTGATGTAACGAATTTCAATTATTACACTGTACTGAAAATGAGCGCGTAATTACAAACTTCAGCTTGTTGCGTTATGATGGACGTTTTAATGGGAAATTTTAAGACGGTTTAAGTGCACCAGGAAATAAAAATAAGGAAAAAGAAACCGTATTGGGTGTATTTATTTTTTTTTTTTTTTTGTCGTGATCGACCTTCGCAATTTTACACGGACCGGACGCACAATAAGTTTCAATTGGAAAATAATACAAATACAGCATTCGTCAGGATTCAATATATTATGTATTTTGACATTTTTGCAGGAAGGAAAATCCGAAACCTGTAAAAAACCTAGAGGACGTTCTACCTGTAACATTGAATTTCAGTTCAGGTTTCATCAGGTATAGTGTGTGGCTACTTAAAGTAGCGTGTACAATTTTGAATGTACCAAAAGAAAACTGTTGGTAATAAAGTTTATTTAAAATATTGTTGTATTATAAAAATGTATTAGGTTGCAGTCGACGAACACTGTTGCGATTTAAGAGAAGTACTGTAGTTGCACAAGAAATAGTTTAATTACTTTATTTAACTGGCCCTTAAAATATTATGCTAAATAATAATAATAATAAATAACATTGTAAAAAATAACGAGTAAGATTAAATTAAAAAAAAAAAAATCGAAAAATAATTATTTCCAAATAGTTTTCATAATTTAAAAACGGTTACTTTTTATTCTAAGCGTTCATATCTATTGTACATGTGAAGAGAAATTATATTCTAACTGATAATTGACGTGCGAAAGAAGAATAAAAATAGTCTTTTCACAGATAATACATTTAAAAAATGTCATTAGTAACCAAAAACATCACATGGTTATGGAAAATAGATGTTAATATCTGTCAGCAATTACCACAAGTTTATCAACTATCATCTGTTGAAATCCTTTTAACAAAGCAATAAAAATAATTAATGTTGTTAAGTACTTTTTAAATTTTTTTCTTATGTGTTAGGGTTTAAGCGTATTCAACATTGTTATCTATATGACATCACCCAAGTTTCTTAGTATATTTTCATGTAGCTAATATAATAGGACTAAAAAATGTTTAAAAATTCTACCTTAAGACAATTAAAGTGAGCGTTTTCTCAGCAAAATTTTTTTAGCCAATATTTAAAACAAATTATCTAAAATGAATTTTATTTAACATATTTTAATACACAACTTTATGTGTAAGTTCAACCAGTTAAACTGAACGTTTTAATGAGCAAGCCAGTTTTTTGTGTTGTTACAAAACAAAAGTTTACCCACAGGCTTATGGAACTAATCAAACACAAATATATCGATAGCAAAATTATCTACATAAATGGCAGTGATATAAGCAGATTGGACATAAATTTGCATTTTCACGAATTATAAAAAAATGTCTTAAAGTGAATATTTTTTTAGTAAGTGATTTAATGAACAATTAGATTGTATATAAGATTAAAATAAGTATAATTTATATAGTCTACGCGAGTACAAATCAATGTAAAAATTTGATTTTATTAAATTTAATGAAACACTGTAGTGCAAAGTTGATCCTAATTTTGTTTGGAATGAGTAACATGACCGACTGAGAAAATCGAACAGCAATTATTGCGTCTTGTAGAACTATACTTGAAATATTTAAGTTTCTCTGTCCTTAGTAATAATGCGTATTAAAAAAATATGTCTTAACGAGTCTAGTGTATACAAGTGTTCCAAAATCACTGTGACATGATATCGCGATGCACTCTTAATAAGCTATTTTAATAATGTATAATTTAACGACGTATCCATCGACTAGAATTTGACCTTCTAGAAATTAACTGCTAAACCTTCGACGTGATTACACACCTAAAATGACCGTAGCAAACGTTTGATAATTGAATGTAGTTATTGTTTTTACATAAAACTGATCCTAACGGTGTTGGATTGCTATTTTTCGGGTGGTCGCTATGTGCGGTACTGTTGTAATTTAAGGATCTAATTAATAATAAATGTCAAATGGGATTGCGTTCAAAGTTGCTTGGTGTCCTGAAGCTGTGGGTCAACGCTGGCAATGGAAACTTAATGCAGTAAAACCCATTAGAAAATTTCAATGACACTCGAAGGCGGTTTTGTTTTTGCATAAAATAACAATTATTGAAAAATAATTGCACCACCCCATTAAGGATTCACAGTAAATATTATGTAATATAATTATCGTAATTTGTATCAAATAATTATTATACAACGACGTACACGAGTCACGGCGTTTGCGAAACACGACCATATTATTTATAACTGACGTGGTGTCAATATAATTATGATAATCAAC